GCAGCTGTTTGTCCACTAATTCAATTATCGATCGAGATTACTCGTGATACGGTGTGTGGGGAGGGGGTTAAGGAAGCATTGCACTTGCACAAATTGTTTTTGAGCACACAGAGGAGGTTGTGCAGAGGAATGCCCATCGTTTCTGCTGTGGTCAGCATCCGACTGCGAACCTGCCTGGTTTATTGCCCAAGAACGTTATACAGGGGGCGGAAAGCATCGGCCACGTCCATAGTGCGATTTCGTCCAGCAAAGCGTGAAACCACTGCACCGGTGAGTGACTTAATCGTTCCGGTGTTCGGCCACGCAGGGTGGTGTTCCCGACCCTTGATCATACGGGAGCAAGTAAATGAGTACACACAGAATGAGATCGCAGAGTCGGGCTCTTTGTCCTTCAGTCACAGACGATTGGCTTGAACGTGGACAACACACGAAGCTTGGATGCATTTATTTTCCCAAGACAGTTTAGTCCCAAGTATTGATGTATATTGTGATGTATCGGCATGAATACGAATATCTGAAAACTAGCTTGTTCGCCACTCTGTTGTTTTGTTTGAAATGTGCTCTATGGGACTAGTTCGACCATTAGAGTAGGTATATATCTGCACTGGTACTGAGAGTCGTGAAGCGTATAACCCACTGTTCCATCAATCTAATCCCAACCACTGGCTCGTTTGGGTTCAACACTTATTGGTATTCTGAATGATTCTGTACATTTATCACTCTTCATCTTGTCGTAAAGCATTCAATGAACGCAAGTAAAATGTTGCAAATTCGAAAAATAAACATAAGCTTTAGGCTCTGCGCAATTTACTGAGTTCATCACAGTCTAACTGAAGTGAAAAGAATATCACTAATTGGTTTAAGAATAGCTAATGAAGCAGAAAATTAAATGAAGCTTGGACACTATGTGGTTTCCGGATTGCCACGTTTTAGCCGGAAAATTGTGACAGTGGACTGTGTGGTTAGAAGTTCTATTCTCAAACTGATGCATATGGAACGGTAGTTCTGACCAATGGATTGATTACTAAAATTTGTTTGTGAATTTCAGAAAGTGGAAAGTGAACGCAAAGAGCAGGATTTGGGCGAGAGGGAGGGGCTCACACGTTATACCTTTGAGACTTCCCTGATCTTTCCCGGGTTGGATAGACTATAGCTTTGCACATGACCATTACATGTCAGAGGGCATGACAAGAATTGTCTTTTACATTCACTCGACTGTAGGAGGGAGCGCTTTGACTAGTATCTTTAGCCCATCCAGTGATAGGCTCGGTTGTTTCGTTGCTACCTCTTTCACTATTATTTTTGAATGGTCATTGCAAA